ATCCATGTTAGTTGAACGAGACAGGAATTGTTGCCCTGTCATTGTCCTGCTGCACCGTTCAAAAAAATCTATGTACAAAAAGGGCGCTGACTGACTCCCACGCAGGAGGTGAACAAAATGGAAGTAAATACTCTCAAACACCCTTTAAGCTGAAAGTCAGCACTTTAATCTCAGTTATTGCTTTATTTCAAGTCCATTTACTGGAGTACAGAGCCAAAACAACAGCAAAATGTGTCACTGTCCCAATAGTTACAAGCTGCACTGTACAAAAGTACAACCCCAGTAATAATCGCAGAATTGAATCGGCTTCTTTGTGCCAATGTCTCAAAAAAACAAAAACAAAACTGCACATCGGGAGCCACACAAAGCTGGTATTTGGCAGAGCTTTCGTTTAGAAACCACTTGTATCCAAGGCCAGTGCACAAACACGCACACGCTGTCGCACTGAGAATAAAACCCAGAGCACTGAACAATGGGTAAAGTAACGAGATCTGATAGATCATCCTTTTACTGTTGTGCAACAGTCAGGGTCTTGTATGGGTGGAAGTTCAAGGATGCCTTCAATCCAGAGTGTCTTCTAGTTACTGTTAGACTGTCAGTGATCCCCAGCCCGACCGTAAGCAGCAAGCATCCAAGAGACACAGCACTGGAAAAACACAAAAATAGTGAGGCGACATGGAGGAGTGAATCTGGGGTTGGCTTTTACGTTCACTTTCCCTGGCGAGCGTCTTTACAAACACTGTCTGACAATCCTGCTTAGTACAAACATAGCGGTGAATATATAATAACATGGATGCTCAACATACACTTATTACGAGTGAGAAATTTTATGGCAGGAAAGATGATGAGCCTTCCATATGCACAACTGAACCGTTTCAAGGGCTGTCATAAATAAGCGGTGTAAAATGCGGCCTTTGTAAATACAAGATCTAAACATCCCTGTACTTTTATTTAATGGACATATATTTATTGAACACTGAGCTCAAAGATAATTTATGCCTGTGCATCGACCCAAAGAGGATGGGAGCTGTTTGTAAATGCGAGTGTTTTACTCATTAGGTGTTTTACATTATTGTGCTCATAGGCGCGCAATCTTTAAGCCACCAGCACTGCATAGGTGGTTGTATACTACACAGATGTTCTCTGAGGTCTGACCAAAATGTGTCTTACAGTATCTTAGTAAGTCATAACATCACAAGTGCCACCCTCGGGTCCAAAACTCAGCATGTGAAGTCATCAAGCTTGAAAGGTGGGATGGGAATCATTCTAATTCTCCTGTATGAAAAAAAAGAAGATGTTGAGAGACAGAGCAGGCAGAGACCGATTCCACCAGGACAGGACAGTGACGCTCCGTACTGCCTGTATCAAAGCTATTATTCTTCAGGAGCAGAGAGGGTGGGCTCAACAATAACAACAAGAGAGTAATGGAAATTGAGAAATTCACACAGACCTGGAAGAATAATGAAAGCCTAGAATGCTTATTGAGACAGTGATGCACTGGAAAGGCCAAAGGAAAACACACCCACATTTTCTCATTGTCTCTCTCGAGCTTTCTCTCCGACACTCAGACACACACACATACATACAGTGTGCTAGGAAGCAATCTTCAAGAACACACAGAATGGGGAAGCTTCATTCTAGCCCACCTGACAGTGCATAGCCACTAGCTTGATGAAATGGCAGAGAGTCAGTGAGCTCTGAAGGCCATTAGATATTTTAGGTGATGGCCTGCACTCCCTGTCCCCCTGACGTTGTGCTTTTCTCTGCTATAGCGGGGATCAGGCAGAGGACATGAATGCCATTAGGCGTTGGAGTTAGCCAGCCAGGCAGCGAGGCGGGCGGACACAGGCTGATAAGCGTATGTTCGTTTTATAAGCCACGGCTGGCTCAAATGGGCTGCAGAGAAAATGAGGATTTTGAGGGGTTTTTTTTTTTGACTCACTGTCTTGCTTCCCTTTGCTCATTCAGTCTGTTTTGCTGTGTTTTTTTTGTCTTTTTGCTTTCTCTATTCACAGCCACAGTGTTTCTCACAAGGTCAGGTGTGGAGTCTATCCTGCCTCGCACCGCTCAGCACCTCCCGTCTCTTCTCCTCTCATCTGCCTCTCCTCGCTCTGTTTCTCCCCATCTGTATCACCCCCCCTTCACCACCTCTCCATTTTTAGGTTCTCTCTTGGTTTATTTTTCACCTTCCCTCTCTCTCTCATCTCTTATTTCTTTCCCCTAAATGTCTCTCTTTTGTCCCTCAGCCGTCTCCTATTAACCTTGTTTATAGCTCACACCGTCTCCCCTTCGCAATCCTCCTCCTCATCTCCTCTTCTCTCACCACTTTCTCTTTGCACTCCCTCTTTCATTCTCTATTCCTGGCACCACGTTCTCTTCTCACACTTTCATCCCCACTTTCCATACACCTCCCTCCTCCACTCTCATCTTCCATCACTTTGGCATTCCCAGGCTGTCTGTGGTATCCTTTCATCCCTCCATCCTCCTTGCACACTTCCTCTCCTCCTTCCTTCCCGATTCATTTCCCTCTTCACAGAGGAATGGTGGGAAATATGGAAATGTCAGCGTGACCAGGCAGGGGATCAGAGAGGACTGTGTTAATATGGCAGGGCTGTCGCGGCGCTATCAGCATAATGTGTGCGTGTGCATGCACATCATGTGGGTGTTAAAGACATAATGATAGGTGACAGTGTTTAGGAGGGTGACATCTGACTACTTGATGATGCTGAAGAGGTGCATTTGTTTGTTCATGTGCATTTTGGTTTGGTGGCGTTCTTTGTATGTCACCTGCAGGCAGCAGATCTACTGTAAAGTAGAGCAGCGGTGACACAAGGCTTCTGTTATCACTCTCCCTCCCCTCCAACCCTCTGTTCCTCTCCCTCCATCTCTCTCTTCCTCTGTCGCTCTTCCTTTCCTCTCGGTCTTACCCTTGAACCGTCTTTTATTCTCTAATTCCCTTAGTTCCTGTCTCCCTCCGCCTCTCATCTCTCTCTCTCTTCTGTTAAATATGACCAATGCTCTCTAAATATTTATACTGACAATTACTATTTCAAATGCCGCCTTGCCTCAGCATTTCCAAAAGTCTGTTGTGTTCATGTGCACGCACACGCACGCACACGCTGACTTTTCCTTCTCCGTGTCTGGTGTTCTAATGACACTGAGTCTCTGAGACTTCGGGGCTGGGATTTCGGGACTCTCATGGAGGACGAAGACGTGCAACTCTTTGTATGTCTTGCGTGTAATATTCATTTCCCTGGGGCTGTATAGAGTCTCATAAGACCAGCCTGTCTCTTCTCTGAGCTCTGGCAGGAGGTGACCTGTGTTGGCTCTGCTCTTATTGCCTCAGAATGACACACAACAGGCCCAGCTCTGCTCTGCCCCCACATTATGTGTGGACACAACAGCTGTGCGTGTTTGTGTGTCAATGTGCACATGAGTGAAACCTGAGGCAGAGCAACTTATCTTTAACTCCGCATGGTTTAATGACCTCTGACGCTGCTCCATACGCTTCAATCAAGATGAGTAATCAAGGGTTTCAATAACCCTTCATCCCCTTTTCTCTCAGTCTGTTACATCCTCTGGTAACCCGAGCACAGCTCCCATTTCCCAAAGCTCATCTGTAGTTAGTCAGGCTAGTTCAGGTAGATTGACAGAGGGCTTACAGCTTCATCTTCGCTCGCTGCTCTCGACATATGAAAGATCACAGGCCAGGAGATCGCCAATAAAGCTGTCAAGGGATGTATATGTGCATGAATGCTTTTGTGTGTCTACTTGCACAGATATGCTCATGTATGTGTCCAAGGGAGAAAAAAAGAGCAAGTTGTTCTCCTTTCTAGCCCAATAAGGCTCTCTGCTGCTCCCACGGGCTGCTTAGTGGTTGTCCAGAGGTTTCTCTGTGGCTACAAGGGGGTTGTTTTGTGGTTGTAAATTGGGCTGGTCCTGGGAGAGCTGGTGTTATTCTAGGAAAGGCTTGTTTTCTTCTATTTTCCCACTCATTCTTTCCCTGCTTCCTCCTCCTTCTCTTTCTCTGTATTGATATCTCAGATCTCCCCAGAGTAGAGAAGGTGTGGTGTTTATTGCTCGTCAAAAGAGAAAGACAGCACTGGCCTTTCCTCTTATCTACCAGCCTATGGGTTTCATCTGTGTGGGTGTTTGTGTGTGTGTGCTCCATCAGCCCTGCAGATCATATTAGTCTCAACACAGCAGCTTGGGCTCAGCACAAACTAGTGGAACTAGTTCCGCAAGTAATTGTTTGTCTTTAGGGGAAATTGTGCGTCCTTGGTGCTGTTGTATGTGTGTAACTTGCTGCTGAACACATTGTAAGCACACACACATGCACACATAGCCCTGGCTGCAGACATTTGAAGTTGTGTATCCGCAGGTAATCCACTCTTACTTAAAAAAGGTGCCATCTTGCTGACATACACTAATGCTCGCTTACTCATACAAGTAATTACATTTTCACAGAAACCTGGATTACACACACACACACATACACACACTCGCATAAACGCGGACAGATTGTTGTTTTAAAGCTCCCTCGCTCTTTCTGTGTCTCACACACCCACTGATACAACACACCAAGAAAAGCATATTTATTTTGACTCTTCCTGTAACACAGGAATGTGTCGGCACAGCAAATGGCAGGCTATAGAAAAGCAGAAACCATCCAGATGATTTATGACCTATGTGCAAAAGAGAACTGGCTTTCCTCTTTTTTTTCTTGCTTTTTTTTGCAGCACACATCCCCCTTTTTTTTTCTCGACCACTCCATCCACACACGCGCACAGTCATGGAGAGATACCAGACTCTTGGCCTACTTGCCTGGGTTCACTAATGCTGTCCTCTGTTGTACCAGACACTTCCACACTGTCCTCATTTATCATCAGGAGGCTTTGTACAGTACTAACACGATTCCTCTGCTCCCTCTCCTTGTCTCCTCTCCTCGTTAAGAAAGAAAGAAAACGACAGACATTAATGTTTCTCTTTGCTTCTCTTAGGAGCATCAGGTCAGCGGGTAAAGGTGGAGCCTGAGGTGTCCTCATATCCCGGCCAAACGGTCAAGCTGCGCTGTGAATTCACCGATGCCACTGGGATTCAGCTCACAATGGTCAGATACACACTGTCATGACACAATGTGTTTTTCTTTCAGTTAGCATTTGATTACTTCTTTATACCACCACACTCATATCAACTCTTAACTGGGTTTGTGGTATGAAATTCTAATAAAAATGTCTGTTTCATCTCAAAATTGCAGCTCATTGTGCTGACTTGACACAGTACAATTTGAAATTGCTTGGGACAACAACTTGCTTTCACAATTGAAGCAAACATATTGGCCATTAAGCGAATACACAGTGTAGTATTTGACTAAACATATGGCTATTTTCCCTGTAAAATAAAGGATTTGTTAATTATGTACCAACCTGATTCTGCAGGTGTGTGAAACTTAGTCACACAGATGGGTAAGAGCAATTCATTGCAATTACAATGCACATAAAATGATAATACAGGTCCATGTGCCTTGTTTACCTACCCCATTAAACCTTAATCTAGCAAATCATAGCCCACAGAAATAATCCTGAGGCTAGTAATAGGTTTTTTTATCACATTTAGGCTTAATGTTTTATTACTCCAAACAAACAATGCTAAGCTTCATTTTGCTTTAGGGGATTGAATATGGTAATAGAAACACTTCTTAGTCGCATCTCAATGAAGTGGGAAGTACACAACTCTGTTTGGTTCCACTAAGAGCTGCGGAGAGAGAGAGCGAGTGCTGCTCCTGGAAAAGTCACATGCATATTCATACCTGCTCCACTTATTTGATTGTGATGCTGTGAACGCTGCCCCATGGAGTTTACAGCAAAATGTGCATGTCTGAAAATACTCTCCAGCGTTGCTTATCAATGCCATGATAAATGAGGCAGTTTTTTCTTCAGGCACTGTACGCATCCTAACCTGACCTCCGTGCCTCCTCCACCACAGGTCACGTGGATCTACGAGCCAAAGGACGCAGAAAGGATCAACATTGCTGTGTTTCACCCCAACTTTGATCCCAACTACCCTGACTCGCCTGTGAAGGGCAGAGTCAGCTTCATGGCCAGTCCACCAACACTGGGCAGTCCTTCCATCCAGATAAGTGATGTTAGGATGACCGATGAGGGGAAGTACATCTGCGAGTATGCTACCTACCCCAGTGGCAATGAGCAAGGCATCACACAACTTGTCATGCTGGGTAGGTCACTTACATAATCTATGCCATGTGTATATAAAGCTAGCAGACAGATGATAGGTCACAGTAAAGTCCAGGGTTTACTCTACTCTTGTCCTGGATGTAAAGATAGCAAAGATGTCCAGGTTACTAGGCAACAAAACTATATCATCCTTAAAATCACTCAATGTCAAACACCCAAAACATGAAATATTATTATTGTAACTTAAATGATGGGCTCACACTTTCAAGTTTCCCATTAGCCACAATTTGATCTTCTTTTGAAAACTGTGGTAGCTACTTATTTTTTATGCCGCAGGGTAACGGCCCTGACATGCCAAACTCACATGAAAGACCTACTGGCAACAAAGGCCAGCTGTTGCCTCACATTGCCTGTGGCTTGGCCAAAAAGTTGCACTTGAACACATTGCAGAGACAACGGTCAGCAAACAACTGGCACGTAATTCTGCGTTTGCGTAAGAGCAAATAACTCTTCACACCAGCAGGCAGCAGTAGTCCGTGTTCGTCATTAAAAAAGGGAAACCAGGAGACCAACTGGATGGATTCAAGATGCTAGTTAACACATTAACGATACAACCTGATGCTAAAGGAACAAAGGATGTTTACCCTATGATTGTGAGCAATAACACAAACCATTACTAACTGTTTTTACGAAAGAAGTCAATGGCTAAATAAATATTTTTTAGCTCATATTACGAGTTTGTTTTTATCTCACCCCCTCTTCACTTTAGTTATTTGTTTGCTTTCCTCACTTAAGATCCTTTTCGTGCACTGAGCTGAACTGCCAGTCAGAGTGATTTCCCTCACCGATGAGCTCGGCCAGGTCCAACGCCTATTTAATGGCTGAAAAAACACCAACAGGGGCCAACTAGTGCCAGCGGTGCAGGTCACACCGCAAAATACTAGAACGACAGACACTCACAGACGGCCTGACATTTCCAAACACCCAACCTTCAGCTTGGTGTGTCAGGGCCCTAACTTACTCCATTTTCTGGCAGAACTTCAACAACAGTACCTGTGGTTGGTATTACATGTCAGCAAAGCTGGGTCTACAGAAGCAAAACTTTGATATAAACAGGAGCTCTCTTTTAAATGTTTTGCACCACACTGGCTTTACGGCTCTGTCTGTCAAGGCTCACACCCAAACTGTTTCAAAACTAATTTTTTCTGCTTCCCAAACTCTTGAAGCTTTGTTGAATGCTTGCATTAAAATATCTATTTTATTACATTGGAAAACTTACCAAATTGGCTCTTTGTCAAATTTATATTAGGAGAATCGACCAACTGTCTAAAATTACTTTTATCAATTAATTAGCTTCTCTCACCAAAAACCTAATTCTGTGTTCTATGGTGCTCGTCTCTCCAGTAGGGCTTCTTGAGATGTGTTGAATTGAGGTGCATTAAAGCTGTTGCATGCTAGTTTTTCCTTAAATTTGTCACCCATCCATCTGTAGCAAGCATATGCACATTTACCATGCTGCTAACTATATATAAAAATGCAAAGTACTCTCCGCCTACCTCTTTCTGTCTTTCTCTCTAGCTCTCTCCCACCCCCAAAGGTAGTATGCAGGTTAAAAGCATGTCCAGCTAGGCTTAATTGCTATTATAAGTGGTATTGTCAGATCAATTGTGTTCTTGTTAATGCAATGGAACCATTGGTCTAACCTTGGCCCGGCACCAGTGCCTCTACTCCGCTCTCTTCTCTCTCCAACGCATCATTCCTCCCTGCCTCCCCTAAGGCACTATATTGATCTGGCTGCTTGTCATGCCCGCTGTCAGCTGCTGTCCTGCCTGCTCTCCTCTGATCCCACACTTGTATCATAGAGGGAAATTGAGGAGGTATGAGGACAGGGGGTGGGGGTTGGCAGAGATCATGTAGTGATTTAGAATTTGTGTATGGAAATGCAGTGGACCAGTCAGGGAAATTGTTTATCAATGGCGGTTGATAGGGATAGAGAGACAATAGATTAAAGAAATGGAGGGAGAGTGAAAGAAGATTTAGGGTTTGGGTGTGTTTGCACTCGTGCGCCTAAGTGTTTATCAATGTGGGCTCTGGAGAGATAAAAGACAGAGGAGAGAGAGAAAGAGAGGGCAAGTAGGGGAACACAGGATGTTTGGAGATTGAGGTTTTGGATTTGTTTTTGCCAGGCTGGTGACTCAAATTGTTTATCAATAATGGTGCACATTATCTTTTCCCTCAGCTGTCTTATTTCCATTTTATCTATTTCTACATCCTTTAATCTTCTCTCTGCCACTCTGTGTCTCTCTCCCCCACCCACCCTCCACCCTTGCATCAATCCGTCCATCCACCCATCCATCCATCAGCTAAGCCTCAGAACTCGGCCTCCGTCGTGACAGTGGAAGCGGGCACTAAGCCGGTCGCCGTGGCACGCTGTGAGTCTTTGGATGGTCGCCCCGCTGCTCAGATCAATTGGGTGACCACAGCCAATGGCAATGCGACGACAGTGTCTAAGCCGGGTACTGACAACACTGTGACCGTGACCAGCGAGTACCGCATGGTTCCCACAGCGGCAGACAACGGGAAAGACATTAGCTGCGTGGTGAAGCACAGAACCCAAGTCAAACCAGAGAGCTTCCCGATGAAGCTAGCAGTACAGTGTAAGACACCACACACACAGCACTTAGTATTTCTGTATCATAGTATGAATTTCTTTGTGGTTCACCCTCTAACATTAAACCTTGGAGTGATTAATTGAACACTTTTTTCTTCTTCTCCCTTCTGTCATTCACCTGTCCTTCCCTCAGACCCCCCTCAGGTGACAATAGTGGGTTACGACAATAATTGGTACGTGGGTCGTACAAATGTGGTGCTAATCTGTGATGCTACCGCAAACCCTGTTCCGCTGACCACCCAGTGGAAGACGTGAGTATACCAACATCTGTCTTCTCTTTTGAATTGTCGTCTCTTCCTCCATCTCTCTTTTTTTTCAGTGCCCTTGCTTTCTCTTATCTCTTTTTCTCTTATTCTCCCTTCCTTGCCCTTCGTTCCCAGGTCCAAAGAGCTGTAATCAGCGCTTTTATTATTGCCACTACAGCGCTGTGCTCTGATTATGGAGATAGCCGTATAATTTCTCATAATGGACTCTGCGACTCGAGATTTAACCCTCGCATAATGAGAAGCACAATATGACTTTCTCACTCCCTTTTTCTGTATCATCAGCTATTAATGTAACTGTATCAAAATTTTGGTGGGGGAACTAAAGTCTGGTGCTTAAAAATGGAAGAGATGAGATTTCGGGCCCCGATCCAACAGTTTTGATTTTCCTCCTATCCCCATCCTATTTTCCTTCACTGCGTGATAATGGATTGCCTTTTGAGGAAGGGGGAAACTGATTGGTTTTGCACTGCCGATCAAGATTAGTTGAATTTGATGACATTGCACAATACAGCATATTTCTGTAAATGTACATCTGTCTCGATGCTCTCATTGTGCCCAAAGTCAAACAAACCACAATCCTATTTTCAATTTCTTTTTTGGCCTTCTTCCTTTCTTTCTTTTTTTTTAAACTCATGCCAATATGCTCACGTCCCCGCAGGATGTCAGGAGAGAAGCCAGACACAGTGCAGATCACAGGCAAAGAGCTGAAGGTGCTGAAGGTGGACGATGCTGTCAACACCACTTTTGTTTGTGAGGTCAAGAACCGCATCGGGGTCGGCAGAGACCAGGTCACAGTCTTTGTAAGAGGTGAGTTAAAGGGCACAAACAAGCACAAACACACCAACAAATGTGCACAAAAAAAGTTTTATTACATAACATGTCCATTAACGGCCCTCAAGATGAAGGTTTGATAATATTTAACATACTTTAACCTGCTCAGAGGACAACATGAAGCAAGTAACAGAAGTGTTCTCTTTGTGCGCTGTGGTTTGATGAATCAGCATCATAATTACTCGACACATTTCCTGTTGTAAGTAAGTTAAAACCAAGATTAAGTGTAACTTAGGGCCCTGACACACCAAGCTAACAGTCGTTTTTCATGCACATGTACAGTCGGCCTCAGAGATGGCAGAGCCTGTCGGTGAAAGAAATCACTGAGTGGCAGTTCAGCTCATTGCATAAGAAGAGCGATGGAGGTGAGGAAAGCAAACAAACAGCTAAAGTCAAGAGGGTGTGACAGTCAAACAATCTTGTTATAGTAGGTAAGATTAGTTAGCTGTCTCGCAGAAATGGTTAGTAATTGTTTGTGTTACTGTTCGCTATCACACAGTTAATATCCTTTGTTCTTTCAACATCGGGTTGTGTTGAAAATGTGCTAACTGGCTAACTAGCATCTTGAATCAGTCCTGTCAATTTTCTGCTTTCCCTTTTTGAATGAAGAATACACACTACTGCCTCCTGCAGGTATGGAGAGTTATTTCCTCTCATGCAGGCACAGAACGTACGTGCTGGTTGGGCGTTGGCTGTAGTCTTTAAAATGTATTAAAGTGCAACTTTCTGGCCATGAAATAAGCAATGCAACAGTTGGCCTTCTTAGCCTGTCAGTTTGGTGTGTCCGGGCCTTTACACAAGTTACAAATGTCCCAACTCACTGATGAACTGAACACAGTAAATGCTTCGGTAAAGCAGTGAACATTTCAGAAGTAAAATAAAAAACATTGGTGGCTCACTTGGGCCTCATTCATCATCTAAACTTTCCCCCAGCTTGTATATGAAAACATTTATATCATCCCAGCTGATGAACTGGAACCGAGTGCACTTAAATCATACATGCTACACATTTCCTGGTGTGCTATGCTCTCATGTTTTCCCCAGGGACACACACCTTGTTCTGCCTCACATGTCACATGAACACACATACATTCTCTGTGCTGAGGACTATCTTGGGTGTGTAGTGTAGGGTTAGAGGGTCCAGCTGCTCTGTCCATGGTGTGTATGTGTGTGTGTGACCGCTCTACAGAATGTGCACGAATGTGGGCTCTTTCTTTTGACTTTTCACCTCACTAATTCTCTGTGTCCTATTAGGAATGCATATCACTTTTCTGTGTCTCTTTGCATGCGCTCAATAACACTGAATTATCAAGGTTTCTATGCCGCAGCGGTACCCAAGGTCTGTCTACTGGCTTTGTGCATCACATGGCATTTACAAAGCGGTTTGTTCACAAGGTTTAGTTCATATTGTGAGTGGTGCACATGGATGAGATGATATTTTCGCCTTTTCTGTATTTTTTTCTAAAATGAGAGAGGGAGCGGTTCGCCCCCTGAAGTCATGATCACAAAAGAAACTGAGTAGCATCTCAGCAGTACCCTTGGCCATCGCTAATGACAGGAGAGACTAAAGCAAAGTAAATGAGCAGTGTTCATTAAACTCAGCGGCTTGAAGATAAGGCTGCAATCACTGCAAGTGATGAATTTGACTCGCAGTGACACTGTTGACTTTGAAAAGAAGTGGTATTTCTGTGTAGCCTTGGGTCTAGCTGAGGCTAGACATGCGCTGGTGTACTGTCTGTTTATGTTTGCTGGCTCATATTTGTGATATTATGTGTATTCAGGTGCATGCATCTGTCTGTGTGCTGTGTAGCTTGTTCCACCTCGGGCATCTGAGTTAAACCATCCAGAATGGTGCCAGTTATGATGGAAAACAGTCCATCCCCCTCTGTTCCTCAGTAGTTTTAGCTGCACCCCTCAACAGGGTTCATTTCTGATTTTCACCTCATACAAAATACATCCCCCTCCACTCTTCTGCCTGCACTTAACCGGAAGTTATTTTCTGCTGACATAAGGCTAAACCTTGCCCGTAATGGGGAAAAAGCGCATTTCTCTGGTGGCTTCAGTTTAAGAGCAACCCAGAAACTTCATGCCCTCATTTCTTTTCTTGTCCTTTTGCTCAGTCTCTCTTTATTTCATCCTTTTTTCTGTCTTTCGCTCACCCCCCATCTTTCTTCAAGTCCCTTGGCTCCTTATGGTGCCACAGCATGCGTCACCACTCCTCTGGGGCCATTCTGTACCGCCGCACTGTAGCATAACTGGCTTCCGTAGCACAAAGGATGTCACCATCTCCTGCTGTGTAGTACAAGCAATAAGCAAGGAAGATACAACGATCCAGGCAGCAGAGGGGGGAAAGATGAAGGTTGCTGCTCTCAGACTAAAAAGCCAGGGAACATGCACCAGGATAAATCAGTGCCAGCGTGCAATCCTCACACTAAGAGAGCAAGGCATGAGGGATGGAGGGAGAGAGAGAGAGAGAGAGGATGCTGACGGCATTTAAAACTCCCATGGGAATCTTGTGTCATTGCATCCTATCTTCACCGCTATTGGCCTCCACTATCTCTCAGCATAGCGTGTGTGTCTGTCTGTCTCCAAGCCTCTCAGAGCGGATCAGTCACCCTTTGCTGCTTCAGCTCCTGGCTGCTTCTCTCCTCATTCCACCATCCGCTCCCTTCTCGCTCTGTCTTTTATCCTACATTTCCACTCCACTCCCATTCTTCATCCCACTTTCTTTTTCATTTCTCTTACTCTCTGCATTTTCTTTCTGCTTTCTCTGGTCTCCTTGTCCTGTCATCTCCATCCTCCATCTCCTCTTGCTCTCTCACGGCCGACCACCTCCTCCCTCCTTCCCACTCCTCTCTTATTCATTGGCAGAGGATCAGATGTGAGCTAAATTCACCGGCAGTTAAGAGCTGACTGAGGCGACCGGCAAGTGTCAGAGTGAAGAAGGGTTTGTAGAAGGCAGAGAGGGGGTGAGAAGTGTTCAGAGATTGGGTTTGTATTGGTTAGAGTGAAATGAAAGAGTGGCTGATGGTTGAAACAGAGCGAGAGAAAGATGTGGAATGACTCCAGATGGGAGTGGGATGCAGACCTGTGGAGGCTAATGTGAACGTGTGTAGACAAACAGGGCTAAGAGGGGCCGACAGGCGTGAAATGGCCAGCACCTGCTACATAGCAGGTCCCCCACTGCTCTCTACCCCACAGCTGCATGACACACACACATAAATTCACACTCTCGTGTGTGTCTGTGTGGGTGTTGCCCATGTCCTCTGCCCTCAGTCCTGTCCTGTGCTCCCGGAGGCAGAGAGAGAGATGGATGTCCTTTCTTCTCCTTGCCTCTCCTCCTCTCATCTTCGATCCTGCTGCTTACTCACACACGCTCAAGTATCCTACCCTGCTCTCCCCTCCTCCTTTCTTTCGATTTATCTCCCCCTCGCTATCTCTTTCGCTGCAGTTTGCTCTTTTCATTGCATCTCTCATCCTCTCAGTTAGCATATGCTCTCTCCTCATCCTCCTTATCTCTCTCAGGTTGTCTTTCAGCCTCCACAAGTCTGCCGCTGATCTCCCTGCTCAGAGAGGAGACTCCTGCCCCCAGCATTCTCTCTCGCTCTCTCTTGCTTACGCCCGTGCTATCTCCCCCTCTCTTTAAGCTTAACTCTTAAATACCAGTAGCTCTTTCTTAATCACAGCTTAGTAGTCTCCATCCCTCCATCCATCCCTCCATTCCAGTCTCCTCTCGCGGGGGTTCTTGTGTGGCTAACCCAGATTCTCTCCATCTTCCATCTTGTTATTTTCTCCCCCCATCGTTCCTTACGGGGGGTTGCTCAGCTGAACCTCAAAAAGTTAAGTGTCCCCAATTCAATCCCCCACATGGTCAGAGGGGCTCTGCAGTCCAACAAAAAAAAAGATTTCTCCTCAATTCTTCCTGTTTTTAAGACTCCTCTAAGAAGGCAGTTCAAGAACAAGAGGCTTGGACCTTTTCCTTCACTGGGTTTGGGTGTGTGTGTGTGTCTGCCTCTTTCTGTCTGTGTCTGTCAGTGTGTGTCTCCGGCCATGCGAAAACAGCTAGAGAACAGGTCTGATGGAGCCAAGTCTCCCTCCAGCCTGCTACTGGCCCCCTGCCCACCCCTCATTAGCGCACACACGCACACACAAACACACAGCTCTGTTCAATAAGTTAACATGCTGACAGAGAATACTACTAAGCTATGCTCTAGGTGCAGCCCAGCCCAGCGTCAGACCTCTGATGACCATGATGGCGTGCGTGTGTGTCTGTGAGTGTGTATGAGTGTGTGTATGTGACCATGCGTGTTTTTGGGAGGCTGCAGTAGATGTTACTTCTGCTCCATCTCTCTTATTACTTGCGGTCACTTGGAGCTTACGGTCGTGCTGGACGTGACTTCATAAGAAGCATGCTGTTTTTGGCTTACACAGTATGGTGCGCGTGTGTGTGTGTGCGTGTGTGTGTTTGGGGAGGGGTGGGACACTGTAGTTCTGCATGTTTGTTTTTCTATTTTTTCCCCCCTTGTTATCCACACAGCATGCATATTGCAGTTTTTCTGCTGTCTCATCCAACAGCATGTGTTTATAAGATGTCCTCTCCTCACCCACTGAAATAAATTCCACTGGTGCTTTGTTAGGATGTGTCTGGGTCTGTAGTGGGCCTGTACTGGGAGCCTGGGGTGGCTCCTTTTAACATCTATCTCTTGAATCTTTTAAGTGTTGTCTCCAGAAGGGTAGAATAAAACATGAATTATCACCGACAAAAGGATTTACCAGCATAGACTTTGAGAGAGACACTTAAGGACTGACTTGAGCGACGCATTAAAAATAATTGGATGAGAGGAATTTAGGGAGAATTTGCATTTAAATTTCAGTGTAATTCCCTTTGATGTGACGGCAATGTGTGGCAGCATCCGGCCCCAAGTTTGCACAGAGATTGTTGCCACGTTGCATGTGCCGGCGCGCCACGGAGCGCCATGAAGCCCGAGGTGATAATGCATTTCTTGTGTTCCTGTGACAAGTGGACACTGAGGGCTAGCTCTCACTCTCATGTGTGCGAACAGGAATGTTTAGCACTGCTCGGGGGAGAATAGGAGGGGAAAGAGACAGTTTGCTTTGGGAGGCTAGTGAGAGAAATTGAAAGAGAGGAAAAGAAAATATACCCACATGAAATTATTAATTTTTTCCCGAGGCTTATGTTGAAAGTGAAGCACAGAGGAAAATAGTAACATGTGACAGAAATACAAACGTAAATTGGAGAGATGGCAGGGAAAATGGATTTAGAGCAGACGGAAAGAGTGCATGCAGGAGACAGCTTGTGAAGTGGTGGCAGAGATGGAGAAAAGGGGTAGTGGAGGAGAGAAGAGGCAGAAATAAAGTAGAAGAGAAGAGAAGAGCGAAGCACAGGTGTAGACAGCAGTATACTACCATTTTTGTCTCTTGACAAGAATCAGTGTTACAAGAGTAATTCTGTCAGCTCTCTGTACACTTAACAAGAGGGGCCGGCTTCTGATGGATTTTAAATGGGAATGACAATAAGAGTCGGGCTGATTTGCTACTTTCAAATTTAGGCAGGGATTTCAACAGCAGCGTTTACTGGTTTAATCCTCTGCAGCGGCTGGTGGAAGTGCAGAGAGTGAAGAGGGGAGCCAGAGCAACAGACAGGATGTTCAGCTTAGCCAAGGGTTCTTGATCACTTTGAACCAGGGGCTACAACTTATTTTGTTTTATTGTGTAACTCATGCGCTAAAACCTGAAGGAAGCCGAACACTTGAGTATGATGAATGATAAATAGACTTCAATAAAGATGATGTTTCTGCAACAATGTGCCTTCCTCTGGGATTTAAAGAGTCGCATGAAAGCATTTTGTTTATTGCATCTGAGGCATCCAAATATATCCACACCGAGTAAACAAGTACATTACATTTAAAAAAAAACATGCATTCATACAGAATAGATCATAAGCTCCAAATTGTGATACTTTGAATCATGTAAAAGTGAGAATGATATACATTCAGGCATCAATATTCCCTTCTCTTAAAAGTAGGTTTACTCTGTAAAGCTCTGAATGAGGCACGTTGTTGCATAAACAGTTTGTGGAATAAAGTCTAAGCTGTATATCCATCATACTGGAGAGCTCCTCCGTCTTATATAAAAGTTGTTCTACTTTTTATATTGTGTATATTTCCTTGTAAAATACCCTGCAAATTCTGAGAGCATTTTTGTTTAAAGTGCTTCACAGTACAGTGAATGCAAACAGCTCGGATAGAGCTGACCCTTAACTCCGGCATTGTTAGAGCCATACTCCCTGCCCACTGAGTTATAGATGATGACCACACAAGGGAAACGGTCACAGAGTCTGTGGGGAGTTGTCATACTCCCAGAAAGCACTTAGAGCCCTGAACTCATGGCCCCGAAAAAGCCTGTGCAAAGCAGTAACACTGTCATGGTTCTCTGAGAGGCTTTAGTTTCTTAACCAAGCCTGGTATCAAAGCTCAGTCCTTTTTTGAGTTCTGACTAAATGTGTCCAAAAACATCAACTTTTAGTCAGAGTTGGCAGTGAATGCTAGTGTGGTTTGCTTCATTTTCATCAGATATATTCTGATTTAAATCAGAATTTTGCTGACTTTAGATAGTATTTTATTTACAACTGTAACTAATGTATTTAAAGGTCCAGGTGTAGGATTCAGGGGTTATATTATATTATGACTTTGTTTTTAGTAGTTTATAATCACCTGAAAATAAGAATTGCATTGTTTTCATTACCATGTTGTTCTTCAGTAGCCGAGTACCTACAAATAAAACACTGGCTCTCACATAGATACCAGTAAATCCTACACATCTGACCTTTAAATATTTGATGAAACAAAGAAAAGGCTCTTCTATAAAAACACGTTTATATTCCTTAAATTAAGGAATCAAGAACTGTATTCTTTTGGTGCCGAAACTCAGGTTTATTATTGCTACAATAAATCAAAACATTTCAAATAATATTCAGCCTTAATGTTAACCGGTGGTTTCCTCCTCTGCAAAAGCAGTTGTATCTTTTTGCTGTTCAAATACCTGCTTTGAAATATCGTACTAATATCACTGCCGAGGGATGTCGAGGGAGTGGGAGGTGTGAGTTCAGTGAAGGAGCACTATATGGCTGACAAGTCATATGGGACGTCTTCACACACCTGATTTAGACACCACTACCTCTCCCTGGAGTTTTGATACACAAACAGAAATACTGTGTATTAGACGGTGGAGCCCTAGTCTTGCTTATATACCATCCTTAGCTAGGCTGCACTTTAAGGCAGCCTTCGTTTGATTTAAAGTGAACTTAAAATGGCTTCTTTTCATGCGTCTGTGTGTAACATGGCAGTTGTGACTAAACAGATTGTGCTGGAATAAAAAGGGACACACATCTAGGACCAGCATGCACTCGAGCATTGCCTTTCGTTTTACAGGAGCGGAGGGGTGCCAAACTGTCCCCCTGCTCTATACTCATGGCTTCCAGGAAGAGTTGTCATTCCGCTGTGTCACTTTGTCACTCACTCACTCCTCCTCTGCCTCCTCCTCCTCTTCTTCATCTAATTTCGAACCCTCCACTCCTCCATCCATCATTATCCTCCTCCGCTGCATGGCCTCCACCTGTTCTGCCCCTGCACATGCCATTCCCCGCTCCCTCCGAATGTGTATGTGTGTATGTGGCTTGCACTTTTTACCCCCCTCCTGCTGCCTTGCCTTGTGATTTGTGTGGAGCCTTGGACAGACCCTGGCCGTTGAAGGGCAACACGGGGAAACGTGGCTGCGACATTGTTGTGACGTGGCTGTGGGAATGGGGACAGGAGCAGCTCTGAGGGAGAGGAGGAAATGTCAGTGTAGGAAGAGGCTTAGCACACACACACACACACACACACACACACACACACAGACACACACTTTTGACTGTACTGACACCTCAGCACTCTTACACACTTCACTGAATACAGTACAGGCCACTGACATCATCCAACTCCTACCTTTCTCGTTTTTCCTTGACATTACCCTTTCTTCCTCGTCCTTTTTTATGCTGTCTCTATTTTCCCTCTTGCCCTCTCTCCATGTTTCACACTGTTCTCTTTTTTTTCCCTTTTCTCAACCATATTCCTTTCTTCCTTTTTCTCCCTCCCCGCCTCTCCTCCCTCCTACAGAGCCCTCAGTGAACCCATCCAATGCCGGCGTGGTGGCAGGAGCTGTGATTGGCTCCCTGCTGGCCCTCCTCTTGGTTGCCGCTCTCATCGCTGTGCTCGTCACCCGTAGCCGCAGGCAACAGCAGGGTTACCGCGCCAATGGCGGCAGTGACATGAAGACACGCATATTTGGGGGCGGCAAGAAGGCCAGCAAGAACGGCACAGGCGGAGGAACAGGTAGTGGTGGCGTCGGAGGTGGTAACAACAACGGGCCCATCTACGTTTACAACGAGAGCTCGTCCCATCAGGGCCTCGCAGAGAAAAACAACCACCACCAGCCGCTCACCATGGGGGGCCGGCCCGAAGTTGTTGCCACGACACCCACTGCCCAAGATATCCTGCTGAGCAATGAATTAGACGACGCAGAGAGGAGGAAGTTTGATGAGCTGGAGGAGGAGGAAAGGTATGACCATTTCAGTGGAGGGGCCCCCATCCTTCAGCTTCGCCCACCGCATGACCAGGACGATATGATTGGAGGTTACCTGGATGATGACATGGAGTCCCAGGGGGATGGCTCTGTCATCTCACGGACTGCTGTTTACGTATAGAGGAGAAGAGGAAAGGAGGAGGAGAAGAAAAAAGGAGAGATGGAGGATTCCTCCTGAGGATTTTGTGGCTCCAGGGGTCTCGTCCCTTTCTGATAGAGAAGAGAAAATGCTACCACTTTTATTTTTGAAAATTGATTTTAAACATAGTCTATTATTAATCACAGTGCAGCCCCAGAAATGGACTGAGGAGGGACATTCTGAAAGGAGCGTTGCTGTTATCTGGTCCCTAAGAAGTGAAAATCAAACAGAGAAAAGAAACAACCTGCCTCCCACTGCTTCTGCTCATGCTATCGCTATCACTGGGACCTTGACAAGGACTCTTGACAGACAGACTAAAAGAGAGAAACTATGTAGTGTGGGAGTAGGATAATGGAATCATGATACAAGCTTGGCTATAGAGGAGGCAACTCACTTGCATATTCACTCTTATCTTCACCAAAACAGTAGAAGTGGAAGGGGTTGTCAAGCAGTTGCGTGTTGCCTGCTATTCTCAGTCCTCCTGTAGGAAATCTTTTGTTTTGGTAATACGTTGCGCTGTGACAGCTGGTGGGTAGTTAGTAGCTAGTGATGGGTTGGGAGGAAGACATTTGAAAGTATAGACAGTAGCCATCAGGTGATTTAGAGAAGAGAACAGTGTGTTTGCTCAAGTCTACTGGTGAGCTTTTATTCTGGCTGCTCAAGTCTACTGGCGGGCTTTCATTCTGGCTCTCTCTGCCATCCTCTCGAACTTCTCTGCAAATTTATCAGCGACGCTTGAATCTACAAAATTTAAAAGAACATTAGGTCCTCGTGTGCTGCACAAGCACAAGAGCAGCCAAATCTATCAAAGTAAGTTTGCAGGAGAGTTCGAGCTCAGCTCTTAACAAGGTATTCACATGCAAACTTTTGTACAGTGCCTGGAGGTAAGAGACGATAAACAAGAGATGAGGGAATGAGGTGTAGCCGATCTGACAGGGTCAAGGGATGGAGAGAGGGATGCAGGAGGTGGAAGGACTAGAGAGGAGCACGTCTCTTCTTTTCTCTTCCTCCTCATCCGCGTCTCTTCAGAGCGCTCCTGACAGGAGGAGCTTGATTGGTAATGAGCCGTGAAGTCGCTCGCTTAGCCGGGACCAACAGATTGCCACCACTTATCGTTTATGACGTGGCGATTTCTCCCCCTCCCACCTCTATCTCTCTATCATCCCTCAGTCTCTCTCCCTCTCTCTCTTCATCCCCCTCTCCCAGTGTTTATGGGGAGTTTATGATTTATCCGGTGGTGTCGAGGTCAGGGCCACAGAGAGCAGAGGAGTATTTTACTGCTCCTGATGTGTCAAACGCCCCACTTACTCTATTCCAGCCCGGCCTGCCCTGACATGCTAGGACTGACTAATCCACCTGGAGTAGCCATGTTCACTCCATCCCAGCGCACGGACTCTACTGCCTCCTCCCACACTTCAGTAAATGGCCGGATGTAACAGAACCCCACCCGGAAAGTACTACGGCGTTAGGTTAGATAGATTTTCAATAACATCATGTAATATTTCTTTCCATTAGCGGATGTTGTTAAATGTAGTGAATTGATCGGGAGACATAAAAGGTTGCGTCCACAGCGAAGCAATGGGAGTCATATTGACTAACAGGCAACAAGCAGTGAAATGGCCCTTTATGATGCAGCTTCAGGGCTGATTGTCTCCTGACTGTTAATTTATCCTTCTAACGAGCCACCGGAGGCCCACTCAGGCAAATGTTGCTCTGTGGCTACTGCATGCTGCTGTCTTTGAGGCTCAGTTGTGTACATCTGCATGCGTCACTGTATCTATGTAGCCACTGGATGACTGTGATGGACAATCTTGGAGAGAAGCTCTACAGTAGCTCCTCTAATCATGCTTTTCCCTGCCTTGTAATCTTCTACCCTTTGACCCACTGGGAATCTGTTGAGTGCGGCTCTCGATGACTGTACTGCCCTCTTGCAAGGCCTGGCAAAGATCTGGGTTGCAGTACGCTGCAGGTCATAAGGTCAAATGCAGGGTGACCTATTGCTAAGAGCAAGGAAGGCTGCCTGCAATTCCTATCACAGTTGTTTTTTAACCTTGAGCTATGGAGGTGAGAAACACTCAGTGCAAGTATCTGCACAGGGTGATGCAGTCCTAGTTTGCCATTTTGATGGCTGTTAACATTCAGAGAGGCGGAGAGAGAACAGGAGAGGGACACAAGAGGCATGTGACAAAAACAGAGACAGTGTTTGAGCACCATCTAGCATATTGTAAGCCAGCGTGTTCAATGGGATTATCATCTAATGGCCTTAGCTTCTACATAAATGCAACTCCTGTCAACCTGGGGTACAGTGAATTTACGCAACACAGCTGATTTGTCACAACCACTCAAAAATTTAAAAAAAAAAATGTATTACTTATTTTTGCACTTGTGTGTGTGTCACTGCTACAAAGAGAAATATGAGTGTAATACGTGGTTTGGGGGGTCAAAATAGCGATAAGGGACAAAACTGTTGTATGTACATTTTGGTGTGAGGTATCTGTGTACTATATATGTAAGCATCTTTATTTTTCTTGTGAAAATGTGGATATTTATGAAAATGTAAATATCAGATTGATGGAGCCAGTGTTGTGGAAGTAAAGAGGCGTTCTTGGTCGGCTAAGCCTAAAGTTCAAATGTCTCAGAGGGCATTCAGAATGTAATTTTTAACCTAATGAATACCTCAGTGGTTTGTGTGTTAAAACGCACTGAACCGACTGAGGTGAGTTTACCTAAAGCCTAAGAGTCAATTTGTACCGGGGGAAAAAAATTATAGACGCTTGTATAATTTTTTTTTTTTTTTTTTTAAATAAGCATTGCCTGCATTCTCACATAATAAGCACACAGTATTTTTTTTGCACAATTGGCTTCTCCTTCTCCTTGACAGACACCCTGCACAATGCAAAAATACCCACAATACTCATAATTTATCAGGTAGACCGTAACCACACAGGCAATGGTCTGTGTTGAGTCAGCTCTGTGTGTGTGTGTGTGCATGTGTGTGTGTGTAGTAGTGTGATGAAGTGTATTTTCATGATGCTCAGGGTGCTTTGGGACATCTCTTACTGCCATTGGGGCTGTAACCTGAGTAGCCACCCTTTGTCACCATGGAAAACCAGCAAACTGAAGATATTATTGTGCATTTTGAAGGCACACTCACTCACACACACACACACACACACACACACACACACACACACACACACACTGTACATGTACATACACAGAATGCAGAGAAACATTCGCCCACACACAAACACCCCTCAGTCACTCTCATTATGCTCACTCCCACAGCCAAACTGTGCAGAAGACACCTCATACCTGAAAACTCTGCCATCTCCTGACATAAGCCCACACAAATACACTCGCATAGATGCACACAAACAGTTCTTCTTTCTCCTCTACTTGCTCAGTGGCTCTGTCAGGACATATACCACGTCCTGTTACTGTGGAAGGAGTCACAGCATGATGTGTCCCCTGCTCCACCGCTTTCTATTCCCCAAATAGTCCAACCCAACCCCAAATCAACGACCATGTAGAACAAAGACAACTGCACATTCAGGGACACACACCTTTCACCCGGTGTCGGAAACACTGGCTTTCTTGCAAACCGTTTGTCCGTTCTGCTTTTGTTCTGCATGGGGAACACAGCTTTCATAAAAATGCCACTGACTGTGCTGACCTGCATCCACCCTCCCACCCTCCCCGTATCCCTTCCAATGCTTTTAGAGAGTCACAACTTCCTACACATCTTCAAAATGTTGTTTTCCGACTTTTTCTCACTTCAGCCACCTCCGCCACTGCGACCGCCTCCACAGACACTCGCACACACACCACTGCCACCCACCTCAGAGCCCAAGTAAGGCTTGTCAGACAAAATGCTTTTAGAAAAATCCGTGATCCTGGTCCGGGTCTAGCACAAGGTTAGGCAGTCAAAATATCCAATATTTTTTCTTTCTTTTTCTCCACATTTTTCTTCAGCTCCAAACATCTGATGACTAATCAAAGCCTTAACATCTCCCATCTCACTCGCATAAAAGAAGAAAAAAAAAGGAGAGAAAACCTCCCTGTGTATAAAGTATAAATATATAAATATGTAGCAGAGAAAAAGATATTACTAATTTATGGTGTCACGTTTGTGTATTTCTCAGTGACAGCAAGCATGAAGGATTTATTTTCTCCTATTACAGTTTCCCCTCTTTTCTGTTATTTTGCAGTGCTTTATAATTTATGTTTTTTGAGTGCTTTATTCTTGACTGCCGCGCTGTGATTGCTGCCAAAACTGGCAAATGTGCTTATTCTATACAAATGAACTGTACACACAACAAAACAGTTTTACCCCCAAAATGTGCTTTTTATTATTGACTGCTCTGTGTAAACGTTGCTTTTTTGTTCTTTTTTTAATTTTTTTAATTTCAGATTTATTTTGGTCTTGAAGAAAAACATGAATTAGAATTGTTGTCACCATTTTGTCGTGTCTTTCTATATTTTTTCGTATTTGGTTGCTATTAAAGACTTCTTGATTTTTGAAATGTTGCTGTGTGTGGTATCTGTTTCTCCTTTTCTTCCCTCTGTCTCTTTAACACTTGCGGTCAGCTCTGGTGACTGAGGAGCCAGATTGAATAGAAGTGCCAGCCATTGATTCTCACTGATTAGATTTATAGATTAATTGATCGGGTTATGAAGTGGCCTCTCTGTCTCTTGTCACCCATCCTTCACGCTGCAGACACACCCCACCCCTCCTGCTTGTTTGTTTGTTGTCCTTTTTTTTTCACTCTCATTTCCTGGTCTGGCTGTTTCAGTTTCGATAAATCTGTGTGTGTGTCAACAGAGGTGCGATAACAGGCTTATGAGGAAACTGAGCACAGGAATAGCAGAAGCCATTTTGTGGATTACAATTGTCCTGTACTCAAGCTCCACCTCCTCTCAGTCTCTCTGATTCGTATATGTGTCCTGGTTGGCTGAAGTAAACTTGCTGCCTTGGTAACAGGTATGTAGGAGACTGCTGTAGTTCTCTAAAGGGCACATTTTTCACCTGAGCATTTGGATTAGGAGGAGTGACGGTACAAAGCGCACATGCACTTTCGTATTTCAAGGAGCATATATAATCATTATATTCAGAGGAGCCCCAACACCTTTGAGGCAAATACTGTACACACACACAGACAGTGAGAGAAAAGGATAGAGTTGAGGAATGCGGTGCGGTAGCTTCAGTGGTTTTCCTGGAGGGAGGCAGTTTGTGTTTTCAGTTGGGGAATGTGCAGGCCAAGCTGAAACTCGGTGAATGGAGCGCCTCTCAAAGGCTGCATTGTTTGAACTCCGACTAAACCAGACTGGTTTGGTCAAATTTTAACAGAAGGGCACATAGGGGGGTTGTCTGTGTGTGCACAGGTCTATGTATGAATGTTCTGGCACAGGAGTGAATGTGTGTGTTGATGCGTGTATGTGCACCTGCCTTATTGGGTTTTTACATACAAGTCCCCCCTCTGTGCCCCCACCAAACGATACAATCAAGTTGTGCTGTTAACATCCTCACGACTGTGACAGTTGGTTTATGGCTGTTATGGCCGGGTGTCCTCGATGTTTGCCTGGTGCTTTGATGCCGTCATGTATCTGTGTGTCATCCTGGCTCCTTGTCACAGTTAATTTTTGTTGCAGGCTTCTTCTGTCAATGCACAGCTATTTACTGTGAGTCCAGCCCACCATCTGGCCTCTCTAATTGCTTTGGATTTGAGGCTGGCGAGATAGAGAGCACTTACACACACTCTTACACACATACACACACAGATACACAGAGACACACTCTGTGTATCTGTGTGTGTATGTGTGTAAGAGTGTGTGTAAGTGCTCTCACACACATACACACACAGATACACAGAGACACACTCTGGCTCCTTTGGTTTTCTAGCTGAATGTAAAAGACTCGAGCACAGCAGAAAGGCTTTTAAGCTACAGCTGGTAATGAAAGCCTGTGCAACACTTACAGTTTGGTCTGCATTTGTCACTGACAAAGTATGCACCTCCATGTGAAAGCAGTGACCCCACAACGCAGAACCTGGCCTATTTGAGCTTCGAGCAAATAACCTGGATCTGAAGCCAAAGTGACAGCAGCTCCGCCAAGCACTACCGCTGTGTTCAACATTAGCTTACAGTGATGAGACATGGTGCGGTGCCCCTGGGCAATTCGGATAGCTGGTAGTGGCCCTTTTTATACCAAGTTGTGTGTGTGTGTGTGCGTAGGCATGTATTAGACAGAGAATGAGTATGTAAGTGTGTTCTTCGGTCATGCAGTGTGCTAATGGAGTATGTTCATGTGTTTAGGTGCCCAGTGAGTGCTCTGCTGGACTGCAGACATCTCGGATTTCGACAGGATGTTTGTGTGGGAAAGTGTTTATGAGCTTGAGTATTATCGGATTGTTTGGTATGTGTGTGTTTTTGAGCCCAACCATGTGATGAGCATTTGTGTGTGTGTGTGCTTTCTCACACATGCATGTTTGTATATGGCTGTATATTTAACTTCCAGCTCTGGCAGCTATGGCCACAGTGTTGATTAAACATCTGATTGTGTGTATGTGTGTGTGTGTGTGTGTGTGTGTGTGTGTGGATTAGCACAAAGACCCACTTTGGGCTCTCTCTGCTGATAACTGCTAACACAATGCTTCTCATTTAACCTCTCACCCTCCGGCTCCAGACATAACTAATAAATCCCAGAGTGAGTGATGACTGGCCTGGACTGTTGCATGGATTTCTGAGTGATGGATGTGGTGACCTGGGCCTTCACAGGGATTAAAGCAAGTGTCTGCCTCTGACCTCAATTATTAAAGTAGGTTCTTGCATATTCTTCTTGGCTTTAAAGCAACTGGCCTTTCACATTCTTGCCTGTGGTGAATCATCAGATCTCAAGCTGTGTGTGTCTTGCAGTTACTGGAGTATCTGTATCAAACACTGTATCTTTTAAGTGGCTTATCTTTTAACTGACAGTGATATGTTTCTCATTATTTTAGCTCTGTAGTGCAGCACATTGACTCATAGCTCTTAGTGCAGTACAAAATACTCCCCCGAGTTTTAGGACAATGATCCCAAGCATGAAGACAAGTAATTAAGGAGTTTTATGTCCAAACTGTGGAATGTCCTTTACTGGCCAAGTCAGTCATCTGACCTTAGCCCGAGCATGTGTTTCATTTCATAAAGATGAAATTGAAGAATGTTATGGCCCTGACAGTGCATCACAAGGGGAGATAAGAAGTGTCTGGTGATGTCTGTGGCTTTATGACTTTTTCATAGTTTGTTTTAACTTGCAATTGCTTTCTTTCCTTGTGTGATGTATAGCAGGACGAACCCCACGTTTCGATTTGCATACTTATTTCTTTTTACTTTCAGTGCAGCTGCCCTCACAAAATACAACCCCAATTCCATAAACATTGGGACACTGTGTAAACATAAATAAAAACATAATGCAATGATTTGCAAATCCTTCCTCGATGTATATTCAATTGAATACAATGCAAAGACAAGGTATTTATCTCATATTTATCTCATTCTAAATTTTGATGCCTGCAACACATTCCAAAAAAGTTGT